CTTAGCCTAGGCGGCCGGCACTCGTCATGCACCGCGGCCGGCTGGTTGTCGGCCTCTGGTCAGTATAGCCGGGTAACGCTGTGAAGTTGCCTATAAGGCAACGGAGCGCCACTGTAAGCACTTATTTGCCTTTGCTCTTTGTATATATTTGTCGTTGTCGTATTTAACGTGCTTTATTAATGATAATCGCTTACGCTCTTTGATATTCTTTGGCTCTGACCCATATGTCTATCCGCGTAGTGTGGTCTCCTTTGGTATTCGTAGTTGTAGTGTAGTACGTAGTTAGTGTAATAAACTGGTGTTCCTTACCTTCGCACTTGTCTCGAGGAAGAAAGTAATTTAGGGCACTCTGGTTGGTCGCGACGGGAGAAGTAGGTTATGTCGCCGTTGTGGTACGGTGAGCGAGGAGGTTTGTGGGCCGATATCGCCGATGCAGATTGCGGTCCAAAGGGTGGCCATGAACTCGCGACATAAGTAATGGTCGAGAGTAGCCCAAATCCACATTGTCCATAGACTGGAGCACCGACGGGATTCCAACTAAATCAACCAGGCCTTCATGGATCGTGGGGGCCGCATGATCGAATAAGATGAAGGAGCTTTGGTTCTTCTAAGATATCGCATTTTTTTCTGACTTAACATAATAAAGTTAAAGTGTCCCCTCTCTTTAGAACCGTAGAAGCACTCGAATGCCTATGTGGCTGAATGTACGAGCTCGTGCTTCTGCCATCCCACACAGTTCTCGTGGCAACTAACCGAACTCGGTACGATGGAAAGCTTGGCTGGTGTGGACAGGCTGCGATCTACGATTCAGTGTATGGCCGTGTGCCAGTAAGTACTAAACCGCCTTCGCCAGCAACTCGATATATACATCATTAAATCGCATCACTACCGTATCAATGTTACCCTGAATATTCATTATGGATTTGAAAAAAGAGCATTTCAACTATATCTCTACTTATTAGTCGACTGACTTTTCAAAGACAAGAATTACCCGTTAGAGGGAAGACGGATAGATCCTCCCCTTCCTCCCCTTCTCACCTTCTCCCTAGAAAGGATACCCGATAAAATACGTAGTTTTTAGAAATTCTTGGTGAGTAACCAACTTATACGCTCTTATACCATAATACATACCTTCTAGTACGAGTACATGATAATTCTCGGGGAAGAAATGACTGAACCCCTCTATTTTTTCACTGCGACTGATCAGACTTTGAAGAAATTCAACAACACAAACAAGCAACGAAAAATTCGATTAATGTTGAGAACTACATATCAAAAAGATTTAATGCTTTCCTACGTGGAAGCCGCTGATAATAGATAGGAATGATATGTAAAATAACGTGCAGAAGTGCAGCAATTCATTTGTCATATGACAGAGAGATACCAAAGATTCTGACACTAAGCAAGCTTTTTGAAGAAACGAGAGGAAAAAATCTGATAACGTGACTTGAGAGTTTGATAAATATGGAAAGAGCAGCAGCAGTAGACTCGTTAAGTGAGACCTTGTATGCATGATGGTGAAGTCGATTCGGTATGCAAGGATTGATGACCAGTAAATATACCTAAAAAATTCCATTTGTTTAGAAGTATAGACAAAACTACAGTACAAAAATGGCTCGCATCCTGAGAAATAGCACGTGTCGTCCCTTATACTTCCATCACACAGGAATTGATCTTAGCTCTTGGCAGATAGCTCCTGCCATCCTCCGGCTTCTAAAAGCCATTGAAACTCAGGAAAAATCATTAATTAGCGGTTGCTTTGACGAGACAAAGGGGAAGTGAGGTTTAGGACAAACTTGACTCTATCAACTATGAAAATTTATCATATGAGCAAACACATATAAGCAGTATAAACAATTCAAATAAAGATCTGTAAGGGAAGAACAGTCAAGAAGCAGCAGTGCACCATCAGAAAAGAAGGGTCAAGGACGTTGAGTAATAGGGGAAGAAAATCACGAGGCCAACAAAAATCATAACCGTTCAAATTGATGAGTTTGAAGTGAGAAGATAAAGCGTTGCGACTAAGTGAAGTAAGTCTGGTCACAGAGCATAAATAACTATCCCATTTCAAGGGCAACGGAAGAATATTGGTCACTCTCAAGTTGAGGAGCCATTTAGGAAGAATCAGTTTAGATGACCATCCTCCGGCTTCTGAGAACCATTGAAAGTTAGGAAAAATCATTAAGTAGATTTTTTAAAGAAATCCGACAATTTTCGCATATGTTTCTTGATCCAGTTGATTTTATGTTCCGCTCGTTCGATTTGTTCGTTGAATGCTCCATACTCTCGAGCATGTGCACCATTTCTCTGAAGGCTCCTTAGCTGAAAAGGAAACAATGACATTCGCCAGAAAAATGATCTTGAAGACACTACCTCTCTGAAAGAAACAATATATTTGTATGCCTACCTCTTCATATTTATTATAATGAAGAAACGTTCAGAGAATGCAAAAAAAAGGAAAAAGAAAGGAGAGCTGCTTGGGCAAATACATCCTAGTGCGGTGTCGCATAAGAGCACTGAATTGCGGGCTGCGCTGGGTTTTGCTGAAGGAAGGAAGTGAGCAAGGACTTCTCTTCTGCACAACAATCGTAGAATTTGACTAAGTAATTTTATTAGCGCTAATTAGCTCTGCTTATAGAGTATGGCAAGTTCGGAAAAGGAGTTATTGAACATCCGCTTCCTGAGTGAAGCCCGTGCCAAGTGCATCATTAACGTAATGCTCTAATTCTCCAAAATGGGTGCTATACTTGTAATACTTGTACTTTAATATTTGAAAGATACCCCACAACGCTGTAACGAAAGACAATAATAGTTGTTATATCCCTTGAACACAAAAGATGAGATCAGTCCCCTCGCATAAACCTCCCTATCACTGACCTCCGAGAAGTTTAAGTTGCTTGGTCCAGAAAACGTATTCGACCATCAAAAGGGAAATGCCCATTCAGTGCCCCAGTCTTGAGCTGTTTTTCAGAGCTGAGAAGATAATGTGCAGCTATAAAAGTTGTCACGGTTTCACGTCTCCCACATTCTGATACTTTTGTCGTCCTCAGCGGTAGTTCCGATTCACCCAAAGGCAAGATTCATAGCTAGCCGTCTCGCCGGCCTCCAAGACTTTGAAGCTTGTCGTATTGTTGGATAGTTGCCTCGCCTTCCGAACTCGTGTGAGAGGCCCTTTTGTTGGCCTTTTAAAAGTAAAGACA